TGGTTAAGTTCTTGCTAATCTATGTTTGATGACGTTGTCATACAGTGACAAAAGTAAGTCTTATTTGTTCAACTTAATAGATATGCACAGTTCTTGTTCAGATTATGTTGTCAACAAGTGCATCTTTCTTTTTTGACTCTCTCTAATCTCCCCTTTCTTTGCTGGAAGGCAATGAGATTTTTTTTGGTGATTACTTCAGCTATCCAAGAAATAAACACTATGAAATGTATATACCTGTATAAAAAGAAAGGAATTCTTTTGGATTGACAAAATAAGAACACTCTTAATATCCCTCTGTATTACACAATTACTCTCAAGGCTTCTTGTTGCCTCATGGTGAAATGAAATATATACTTATATATTATATATATGTTTATGTTTATATATAAATATATAAATATATAAATATATATATTTATACTAAACTTTAAAATTACAATGACACCATCAGTAAGGTGCCCTAAAGCAAGTAAGTTCAGGCAAATAACATTTTTTTCAGTGAAAATGGCTTAGCTTTTTGAAGAGATTTATTTTATATTGAAAAATGTGCTTTTACTTAAAATGACAGTAGCAAAAATGTTATTGATTTGACTTTTCAAAATGTAGTTAAAATAGCACAAAAAATCTGAATTCTATTTCAGAGTGTTTCAAATAAATGCAAACAGTCACATGAGATAAATTTATCTATACCTTCATTGTTTAGTTACTGAAAGTGCAGAGCTCAGGGAAAACCTTTGAGAGTACAGCCACTTGTGTGGAACAGGTTTTGTCCCAGCCTATGACAGATCTCATTTGAAATAAATGTGGAAATATTCATCAGTATTAACATAAACCAATTAAGTATTTGGAAAAGGATTACAGAATCACAGAATCACAGAAACACCATCTGACATCAGCACATTCAAAAGTATTTCACTTTTTTTTGGCAAAACATCTGTTTTTCATTGGAATTACTGATCTAAATTAAAATCTAAGGTTTACCTCTCTGCTTACTCAAAGTCTTAAAGTGTAGCTTTCATGCAAATACATTAATTCCTTACTTAACTGTAGGTTTTCTTCTTTTCCGAAATCCACCAAGTTTCTTTTTGTATGAAGCAGTGGCTGCTTTGTCTCTCTTATGGCTTGCGTGTACAGGTTGGAAAATAAGATTCTTTCTATGTAAGACTGGAGAAAAATAATCTTTCACCTCTACCCAACACACTAGATTTTCAAATGGTGATTTCCAATGTAAATTGGGAATTTTCTTGTATTTGCAGAATATTTCCTTCTTTTTATCTTTTCCCTGTGGAAAAAACTTCTTTATGCATGTAGCAGATGTATGTAGTACACATTTAACAATATAAATAATAGAAGACAATATTAAGTTGATACACTGCTGATTAAAGGCTAATTTAGCAGAGGGTTGTGAGAGTTAGGGTAGTTTTGGTAGGTTGAGGTTGGACTCTATGATCTTAAAGTCTTTTCCAACCTGAACAGTTCTGTGATTCTATGACTCAAAACCACTTCAGTGTAGACAGAGCACTAAGACAAAAGACCAAAGAGTGGAAAGAGTCATTCACACAACTTGAGCCAGTGACAGTAATCTAGGTTTAGCAACTGGTTTACTTAGGTTGGTAATTGACTCATTCATTCAAATGAGTATCAGAACAGGAACCATGCGAATAAAAGGTATGCAGGACACATCTGGATTCTATATGTTAAGGTAGAACATGCTATTTCATGGAAAAAAAACCTCCATAATTTGCTGTCAAAATTATCAGACAGGTATATAGTAAGCAACAAAGAGTAAAACTGGCTAGCAAGATAAGATAGTTTTGTTTTAATTTGCAGTAGTGAAAATGTCATAGGTGGGGAAAATATTATTTTTGTCCATATTTTAGAACACAATCTGTTCAAACAATTAAAACGTCTGTTCTGTTATTGCTAGTTGAATCTCTGAACCACACTTTCCCTGTCATTTTTTATATCAGCTGAAGCAGAGAAAAAGATGTAGTAATGATATTTTTTAATTTCTTAAAATAATCTGTTTGTCTTATGATTGTGTTAAATCCTGCCATTTAAGATCTGTTTGTTGTTTGGGTTTGTTTTTTTTTTTAATATTTAGTATGTTTGATGCTTTTGTGTGAAACTGTTCTCATTTTGTGCTGTCTAGTATAATATCTGGTGTCATGCATCAGTTCTTCTAGTGAATAAAAATTTACTGTGGAAAACCCAAATATGTAAAGGCTGACATTCCACAATTACAAATCTAATGTGTGAAGCAACCAATTTCATTTAAAAATAACTATTTAAATAGATATAATATCTTCATTTATAGCAATTATATTGAAAGCTAGCACAGGATGACTGCTGTGCAAACATTCTTCTCTTTCTCTCTTTTCACGGGAATGATTATACTTTAAATATTTATTTATTTATTTATTTATTCATTCATTCATTCATTTTACTTATCTACACAGGAATACACACACTGAACCAATTAAGTTCTACTTAATTTTCTTTGCTTTGTTAACAGAGAAATGCAAGTGCTTCTGATGACAGGCTTGAATGGTCACAATCCAGTACCAAACAGAAAGTCACTTGTGTGAATCCAGTTGGAAACACAGAGAGAGATCTGGCCAGTGTTCAGGCTGTCTGAAGAATTCCCAAACATTTGGTAAGGACTCCAGAGAATTTAGCTCAGGAGGAATTCATCTACTAGTTCTTTCAGATTCTGGGTTTATCCAGACAATTAATTTCCACTCTAAGCAAGTCTGCTTGTTGCAGAAATGATCATTACTCTTCAGTGATTTCCAAGAAAGCATACTGATGTGTAGCTGATTGAACATTCTCCTGATACAGAGGTTACATGAGTTTTCTTTTTGGAAATGAACTGCTAATTAAAACTGAATAATTGGACTGTATGTGCTAAAGAGCTGGAATATTTCAAAGCAGAGCGGATTAGTACCTTCCTTTTCTAAATACAGATAAGTGAAATGAACTTTTTCACATGAGGATGTGACAACACGAAGTGTTACCTGTTGTTTCCAAGAAGGCATCTTGTTTCTCTTCTAGAAAATGTGAGGGATTTTTGCCTTGGGATTTTATCTAGCAAGTGAAATGTGCCAGAACAACAAGCAAACAAACAAACAAAAAGCCTACCTATACTTTAGCATCCACCAGTTCTTGGTTTATTGACTCTTGTTTACAGAAGAGCTCTTTTTGAGTATTTTGCTTACCCTTGTTTCGTACCTTCAGCATTTTTATTCTGTTAAACTGTACATTTTAGCCTCTGGGTTGCACATTTTTTGTGTGTTCAATAAACTAAAACAATCCAAGTTATTACTCTTGGATTACACAGTACTGAGGCCACAATGTTGCTGTTGCGTCTTACCATGGGAAATAATAGAGTTTTTGTACATTCAGTGCAACTACAGACAACTACAAACAACTATTCACAAGAGAGCAACATTTACAATGGCCACTTAGGGTTCAAGCCGATGTAACTGCTCTGTTGGATCTGAACTTTCAAAATCAGAAAATATTTAGCAGTGTCTGGATCCAACTCTGTAAAATACAAGACTAAAAAAACAGTCTGTTCTGTACATTGTCTTTACTGGCCATTAAACTTGAGGTGAGCTCTTTAGACACAGAGATTCTCATGGGTGAGCAATATACAGTCTCTCTACAGCCTGTGGCCAGAGCTGCTAATAGACAACCATCACACCTCTAAATCTAAAAAGTTTTGCAGAAATTCCACAAGGATCTCTTGCCTCCCTTCTTACATGCCTTCTCCATCTTATGTTGCATTTTCTTTTGTTGTAATATCCATCTTAAAATCAAGCAGTAATGCCTGTGCTTACGTGGATTGATTCACCAGGTAGCACTTGTGAAATAAATCACAGAACACTTGTGAGATTTTAGCAACCATGTTCAAGATAACTGACAAAAAAGTAATCATAACAGATCAATAGGTTGAGATGTACAGTAAATTTTGCCTTACAACATGATAGGAAGAGACTGATTTTAGCAAAATTGGTTAAGAGGATTGCTGTAGGATTCATGGCAGATTCTTTTAAGGACTTCACAGAGGTTTAACAAAGCGCTCCTTGAAAAATGTCAATTCCTGCTAAGACTCATCCATTTCTGCTTATGCCTTTTTTGCTGCACACTGTTTTCTACTCCTGCAATGAAGTCAATAATCTTCATACAGATCAAATGAAGAGGGCTTTATATATTAACAGGCCACACACAGAAACATGAACAAAAACTGTATTTACATGATCTGCCTCTGGGCTGGGCATTTAAAGCATCCTTGCAGAGCTGCTATCTCCTGGTCAGGCACTGGAAGGGACTGTCAATGAGGTGGTTAAGTCACGCTGGAAATGTTCGAGAAGCATTTAGATGTTGTACTGAGGGAACTGTTTAGTGGGGAAACATTGTTGGTAGGATGGTGGTTGGACTGGATGATCTTGGAGGTCTTTTTCAACCTTGGTGATTCTATGATTCTTTGATTCTACGATTCTACAACAATGCAAGGTTCAAGCTAACAGTCCCGCTCTGTAACTTCCTAACAGTTCCTAACAGTTGCCACTGTGAGCATATTCTTTTTTGTTCTTCTTCTTACGTGTGGCATAACACTTAAAATATTGGTCATGCACTAACTCTTTAGGATACTTTGTAAGTTGCCTAACAAATTACTGCTGCATCTTTCTACATTGTAATCAATCAGATCTGGGTTGCGACAGAAAGTGAGAACACATCAGTACACCTTTATGTTTGGATTTTCTTTTTAATATTCATGGAAATATTAAAAACAGATAAAATTGCTTGTTGGCTGTTGCAGACTGAACAAGAGGGAGGTAAATTATCTTATTCAAATGTGAATTTACTTGCTTCTTTTTGCTTTTGAGTACACTTGTTGATTTCCCCCGCCACATACACAAGAAAGGGAGTTAAAAAAAAGTATGAGATAGCTACTTTTAATGTGAAGCAACTCTTTAAATTTGAGAAAAAATAACTTACCCATGAATCAGTCCTTTTTCTTACCACAGTAGTATAGAATTTTATAACACACCTGTAGTTTCATTTGCATTCTCATATCCATTTCTACATAAAGAAAAATGAAAAAGACAGTTGTATGTTTAATATCTGTGCACTTCCAAATGTATTCTAAAATATCTAAGATATTTTTCCCTGAAAAAGTGAAAGATTCTTTGTTTGCAATACTTACACAAACAAGAGTAGTGATAAAAGATCTAGCTGTTAGGGACAGGTGATGTAAATCAACATCAAATCAGTCAATTTCACTGACTTCTGACTGGTTTTAAACTAGTTAGGTTTTTTTAACTGGCTTGACTAAAGAAATCTAGTTCTCTTAAAGTAGCTAACATGAGCATCAAGGTGAATTATTCCAGGTTTAAAAGTGTTTGAATAGTCTTTCTCCATCTATGATGTACATGTGGCCTGAGGGAAAGGGATGAAAAGCTGTAAGATGGAGCACAGCAAGTAAAACCAATAAAAGAAGCAGTATCTGTAGAATCGTATTACATTTATCTTCAAGATCTGTGAAGCCCACGAATCAGTGCAATAGTTGAAAAGTAATGTTAAGCTTAGGCAGACAAAGATGTTCTCTACAAAAAGAAACAGAATAAGTTTTTGATCGACAAGTTTATATGAAAAGCATTTTAGTTTTATTGCCTTGGGTGTAATGAATTTGTCCAGCCATTGGCTTTTTTAAGTTTTTATGACATAGCTGTTCCATAACATGTATCATATGAAATCTTAATAAAAAACATCTTGACATTTTATTAAAAGTTCCATATCTGGCTTTTAAAGGAAATTCAGCTTTTCCATTCACAAAAACTTCTTATCAATTTCACTTATCCTTTGTACACTTTTCGCTCTTTTACCACGTTTACCAGCTCTTTATTTTGAGTTAACATACAGTCAGCATTTTATCCAAGAAGATCCTGATAAGGAATAAAAATCTCTATCAAGATGCTTTAATCAACACTTAACTGCACACATTTCTGTTTGATCTCAGGAGCTGTGTTTGAAAACACCTTGTTTGGAGAACTGGCAGTGGAGACTGGGAGGATAACAAGTAAAAGTATTTTTATGTCAGAAGATCTGAACGAAAAGAACATTGACATGCTTAAGTGTCTTTTTTATTCTTTTCTTCCTCCTGTTCTTTTTCCCTTTATGGATAAAATTATTTTAAAATTCACCAATACTTCTTGTTCCACTGCCACAGCATTGTTCCCTTGGTATTAAAGAAGACTGATGTTAGCCAAAAAAAAAAAAAAAAAAAAAAGCACTCATTAGGAGTTGAAAGGAGATCTGCATGGTGCCAGACAGGGCTGCATCTGTCTAGCATGAGGTTGCTGTGCCATGCTCCATAGCATCTGGCACTGGCCCCTCAGAAAAGGGATAGTGGATTAGATGGATCATGGATGTAATCCACTTTGACAAGATCTATGTTTCTGTGGCTCAAGAAACATAATCCAATTACTCAAAGGAGCTGGCACACCATATTTAAAAACAGTCTCTTTTGTTCAGTTTCTGCATGAAGCAATATGATAAATACTGTACGTGTTGTATTTATGGAATTTATTAATAAGGAAAGCATTTTCTGACCTTATTTAAAATTCACTTTAATCATAAATTTGCATTTCTGATAGACTCTTGCTAAAAGATGAGAATGGCTAAAACATACCCCTGCCCCAAAGACTAAGTGTTGGACCATAATTTTAATGAATAAACTTTGCTAGCTTTGAAACCATAGACATAGAAAATTACATTCTGCATGGTCTTGATATGCTTTAAGACCCATATCCCTCTCCATGGCAAACTCTGAAATGCAGAAGAGGATCATGGTTGTTCACAATGTATAAAAAAGTTGAAAAATCCTTTTTGTTTTATACCTTCCTGCTTTTTTTTTTTTAAAATTATTTATTTTTTGAGGTCCTAGTATCATCTCACTCCTTATTTAACAGAGAAAAAAACTGAACAGCAAGTGGATTGTCTGGGATCCAACAAGGCATTCAGCCTGATTATAGTCTTTGTATGGTTTAGAAACAGAGAGAACTGTGTGGCCCTGCGTGTGGCAGGGGGTTGGAGATTCATGATCCTTGAGGTCCCTTCCAGCCCTGGTCATTCTGTGATTCTGTGATTCTGTGTGTGAATGCTCCAGTGTTTGATGGTGCACTGCAAACTGTGTGATTGTAGTGCAAACTGCAGCCTTAGAGCAGACACTGAGAATATCTCTGCCATCTACTGGGATAAGATGTCCAGCTACTTCATCAAATAAAATACGGATTGTCAAGCAAGTTTCTGGGAGAATAGCAAGGTGGTCACTAAGAAGAGAAAGAAAGAATAACAATGTAAGTGCTTCCCTGTTTTCCCTTTAGAATGTCAGAATAAGTAGTGAAGTATCAATCACTACTGGGTCAACCACCAGATCATCAGCTAGTTTAAGCCATACTTTTTTTAATGCTTTAAATCAGCCCTGAATTGGGCCCTTGATTCACTGACTGTTTTTCATTTTAAGTCATGGTATGTAATCTTACAATCCCAAAGTTACTCCCAAGTAGACTTACATATATCCAGTTATTTATTATCTCTATTCCACATACAAAATACATCATTCAGTTTGTTCTTTCACCTACACTGCCTGCTCTATTCTCACTTTTTCAGGATTAATTCTAAAGGAGTATTTCTCCTACATTTAAATTCCACATTAATCCTCACCTTTATCAGAAAGTTATAAACTTGTAGTCAGTTAAGAATGCCCAGCATAAGAGATGGTTTGAAACTTCCTATATATTTCAAGAGTAAAAGATGCATTATTAAATACAGTGTTATTAACAAGGATTTGCCAACTTAAAATGGTATTTTTTCTCACTTCTGAGGTATCCATTTTTTGTTACAATAAGTAATCACAAGTAAACACAAATAATAAAAATATAACAGTTGTACTGTGAAAAAAATATTTATCATTATTAAATACAGTCTGTAGTTAATTACAGTTTGCACAAGAGAAAAATATAGCTTAAGCAGCAAATCAAATACTTGTTTTTGGATATCCCATATGAGTCATTTAACTAACTGGGTACACACAGTTGATTATTTGCAATGTGTGGATCACAGTACTTGTTTGTTTGTACTCCCTGCAGTAATATCTTGCAATAAGGTGTTAAATTGATCTAACGAGTAGCCAAGGAGACATAGACCAAAGTTGAATCTCAAGGACTTCATTCTGTATGGAAGAGTTCTTTTCAACCTGCTTTTCAATCTTAAACCATTACACTATAAAGAATAATACAAGATGCTTTCCTCAAGGCTAGGAACATATTGTTTTAAGAACTCAGTTGGGTATTAGCTTCATGTTTTAGATGTAAATTCTTGCTGCTTCCATTAGACACTGAGGCAAACCACTCAAAAATATCCATAGCATCAATCGTTCAGTGCCTAATTCTGTTGGAATAACTCAAAACAGAAGCTGAGATATGCAGATAGCAGAAAGATCTGAGCTCCAGCAAAGTCCAAGCATTTTTGGAGATCTTTCTTCATTCATAAAGTCAAATAAATAAATCTAATAAGGCTACCTGCATTGGCACTACCTAGCTTTTTCCTACAACATAACCATTATTGTAGCTCTTGTTTCTCCATCAGGTTTCATTCTTAAGTTCAGAACAGGATATATCTAGGATATAACCATGATTCCTCAGTGTAAGGAAAAAAAATAAATAAATAAAAAAATAAAAAAATCCCAATTTGAAGCATCTATTCATTTCTAACTTAATATTCCTCAAAAACTTGGTATTTCATGAATAGACAACATTCAAAGATACCATGCATTCAGGCTTTGCACCGATTTGCTTCTCAAATTCATTTTCATTTATAAGATTGTATTGAAACCAGTTGGGCAGAAAAACATTGTTGGATTTGCGATGCAGCCAGAAAAACTTGATTTACATGAGACAAATCAAAGGCTGAACTATTAATTAGATCTCTCTCTTACTCCCTAGTCTCCTTTTGCAATTATCAGCTTTTCCTGAGCAAGCTGAAGTCATGCCTTCCGGATGCTCATTTTCTGAAGAAGTGCCTTGGCTTGGAAAGTGATAATTCTGCTCCATTCTATATTCTTTAGCCCCTATTCCTTTCTTTTTACATCTGTGTATCTAACTGGAGAACTTAACTTTGAGCTTACAGTCTTGTGTTGATCCATCCAACATGTCAATTCATTCTTGAGAGTCATCTTCAATCATTCTGTACTAATAGTTCTCTAGATAAGACAAAACATAAGAATATACAATTAGCTGTGGAAACTTTGACTGTATGTTCTTTAGACTTCCCATAACCCATCTCTTATTACTGTTAACAAATTCTACAGCAGTACCAGTGACAGAAATTTCATGGTGACTGGTAAGGATAATGCAGGTAAAACAGGAGGCATGCTATACAAAGTCTCCTACATATCTGGTATGCTTGTCTTCCCTGATTTTCATTAAAAATGTTGCCTGCAGGATCCTTTCGCCACTGGATACTTATAGGGAAGCACAAATAGCAATAAAAGTCAATGGTACTCATACATAATTGCCAAGAAAAGCCAGAGGGCATAGTGCCTATTTAAAACATCATAACACTGTGTATAGTATTAAAGGGAACTATAATCTAAAAAGCTATATACAAACACAGATTTCCTGTCTTAGCATGCTGGGAAAGTCTCCAAGGGAATCCCATCAGGAATAACTTTTGTTATGTTTTAATGCCTCATTCAGTTTGCAAATCCAACTGATAGAGGTGTTCAAAGGAATCGTTCCATTGTAATTCAATAGTCTTTTCTTATCATTAACCGAGATTGCTCCTTTGTTATTCAGCCAATATATCTTATCCCTATTGCCAACCACTGAATCTTCAATGCAAATCCAATGCTGCATTTATAGTCCAGGTCTAGTAGCTTAAGGTGGCTGCAGGACACAATAAAACAGTTCATGATGTTGTTCACCCTCTTATTTGTCCATGATAAATAATTATATCAACATAAAAAGGCTTTTCAGCCAATGGAATTCCAATGCTTTTTTGGCAAAGTTGTTTTCAACATCTTTACAAAAACTGAATTTCAAAACTGGAATTTGATTTCTCACCAAGACTTCTCAAAGCAATTTTTCAAACAGTTTTTGCAAGAAGCAAACTCAGCTAGTCAGACTTATCACTGCTGTATTTCAGGTGTGTGAAAGGCAAGCTGGTAAACAAGTTCATCCAGCAGAAAACTCAGCAGGGTAAAGGTGGGAAATATGCATGCACATATTGGGTTTCTGAATGTGAGCTGTCTCTGTTCTGGACAATTAGTACCTTGTAACAAATCTTCCTCTTTGGACTCACTCAGTCAGTAATAACCATCTCCTAGGGAGGTATAAGGAAGATGCGAAGAGCAAAATGGCTGGAAAAGAGAATTAGTTAGTGTTGAATTATGCATACCTGGAAGTTTTGGGTGTCACTTTGGTAAGAAAGAAAACAACAAAGACCTTTACCAAGGTATGAGTATATTTATAAGAACATAAAACAGTGAAAATCTCACCAAGAACTAGAGAGGGCATAACCATGTATTTGATGTCACACCTGTGATTAAATATATTTTTTTCCCCTCCCTCTTCCATTTTTAAAGAAGCAAGGTAGCACAGCTGTATGAGAAAAGGAAAGAAGCAGAGTAATTTAAAGCAGTGTGACTAAATGAACTTGACAGCAATCCAGAGAAGCTGATATGAGCAGGGAGACCAGAGGCTCTGATGGCTGCAGGCTCTGCGGCTGCCGAGGTGAGTTATCTATCAGCTGAACAAGACAGTTTTAATGGATAGCTTATAATGAGTGCACTGCCAAAATTTTGTGGGTGGGACAAGGAAGTGCTTGAGGCGCTAATGCTCTATTATATCTTCTGTTGGATTCAGCATGAGCAGCAGAGGGCTGGGGGTAGTCACCAGCCAGGCATGCCCTTCCCTGAGGCTGAGGTCAGACACGCTCACTTAATTATCAGCAGATGAGCATGATGAGCAGGAATCGCCCATAAATTCTCGTCTTTGGCCCAGTTCCACTATTAATGTCACCAGTAATCGTTTTCCCATTGAGGGAAAAGATTAGTCCATCATAAAGCCCTTCAAAAACCTGTTCTATGTGTATGGCTGTTGTCTGACTGATCGTGGCAAGCAAGCTCTGACTAGGCTTTTAATTCTGAATAGACCAAAGAAGCACCCAAAACAAGCACTGCAAGAACAAGGAGTTTTTGCCACATATATCTTTCAGATCAGACAAGAACAGACTTACTTCAGACTACACTGTAATCTTCCTTCAGCACAGTGGCTTTTTGTGTTAAATGCAGTTTTATATTTTGCTTTCTGTGCTAATAAAATACAGCAGCTGAGTACATATTTTAGTGAGAACAATGTTCAAATAATACTAACACTTTTTTTCCTCTTTAAAAGATACATGTTGTTGTAGTGATGACATTTCAATAATACACTTATTGTGAAAGCTACAAAAGTCACTGGTGTGCATTTCTGCTGTAGTGGCCTAACTTTTGAGTCTGTAACAATTTTTGTTTTATATCAAGTATAAAAAGTTGCCTAAAACAGAACACACTTTCTCCCTATTCACAGTATCTGTGAACCTGCTAGTTTTTTCCTGGTTTATAAAGAGAGATTATTTCACACCAAATCCCAGTCAGTTATTATTTTTATAGTCTCTTTGCAGCCTTCTGAAGATAGGGAGATAACTAATTTATTATCTTCTTACCCCCTCAGAGAAAAAAAAAAAAAAGAAAGAAAAAAAGAAAGGTCCATTTTACTCCCTAAACTGTTTTCCAGCAACATTCTTTGCAGCAGCTACCAGTTACAGTTATTCCTATACCATGTAATTTCCATAGCAACAGTGCTTAACGTGAGGAACAAAGCCTTAATTGGCTGAACGTTCTACAATAGATTACGAATGTTTAAAGAAAGGAAGAAACCTGTTGCAAGTAATTTTCTAAATCTGTAAATCATCCTCGAAACTTCATTAAATTTTTCCAGGAAAGTACACGACATGCAGAAAGTGTCCCTGTTATAGCAGGAAACACAGGCTGTATGCATTTTTGCTCACATTAATTTATAATACATTTCATTTTCAGAATGGCTTCTGCAGCACTCTATCTACTTATATGATCACATTTTTTAAAAAAAGCCAGTTTGTATTAACAAAGATTATTTCTTGCTCACAACTAACTTTGACAGAAATCAGTACTAATATTGATACACCAGAGCAAAATTTCAGCTTCTGAAGGCATTCTTGCCATTCACATTATGGTTATTTCAATTAAAGCAAATAAATAAATAAAGGACTTCTTACACCAGTAGGCCTTCTAACATTGTCATGAGGGACCCACAGTTTCAGCTTTTCAGCAATATGTGAGCAGGGCCACCACAGTGCATACTTGGTCCAGGCTAGGAAAGTAAAATGATTACATAGCAACTTTACTCATTTCTAGGAATATCACCAGTAAAGCACATAATTCCACTTTCTTGGTAATTGTCATGGCATTTTTACATAGCTTGAAGGCTCAGAGACTTCTTTTCCTCTGTAGATGAGCAGGCCATCATTAGGACTTAGTAGGAACGTGATACAGCAGGAAGAGTTGTTAATGTGGCCAGCAGAAGCCTGTTGCAACTGAAAAAGTGAGGCTGAATTGTAACTTCGGTAATGAATTGTCATTATTTCCACTGCTGAAATCTCTGGACTGATTATTTGTCTTTACTACTACTATTCCACTTAACATGTGTATACCTTTCTTTGATTCCCCAAAGTGTGACTGTTACTACATGTTGAGGGCTTTTCTCAGGAATCTCTCTAATTTCCCTTGTTTTTTCCCCTATTCCTGATACAATCACTGACTTGTTTCCACCTGTGATCTCAGAGGAAGCAGACAAGCTACTCCCGTCCTCAGAGCCACGAGATACAGGAAGAGTCACGACGACCTCGTTTGGGTATCACAAGTTGCTCCTCTAGACACTTGCTTATAGAACAGGATGTTCTTCAGCCATTTACATCATCACAAGAGGTAGCAGAGATGAATAGGAAACTTCTTACTCTCAATACACACCCACACAGGGCAAGAAACATCTCTTAAGCAAACATGACTCAGAAGGCCAAGAAATAAAAAATACTATACTATTTCATTGCATAAAGCAGTAGCACAGGGGCAATATTTATTCACTCCTCAAATTAGAGTCATATTAGGTTTTATGGTGAAATACAAGCAAAATAAGTTTTTCCTCTTAATGTTCTGTAGTGGAGTCAAGAACCTGAGAACTTGTTAGAGAGGAGCCAGAAAAGCACCTTTTCCGAGCAGTCTGAAGGAGATGCATGTGCACATCTTATTATAATAAGATTGGTGCATGTACTTAGTACATACTGCCATGCAGAGACCCGAGGTTTGGCTTCCAAGAACGTTGGATAGCCTCTTACAGCAAACAGTAGAAACTAAAACTGCTAAACTGGAAAGCAAGCAGAACAAAATTAAAAGAAGTCATTGCCAGTGGGTTTCAACAATGAATATAAGACTTGGCTGTGACAGCTCTGACTTTAAAGCTACATCTATAGGGTTTTTTATATTGTACCTCGCAGGCTCTCCACTTTCGTTCGCATTGAGTTACATTATCTTGATTCATCTGCCACCTGTAACCATTCTTATCTCTAGGGTGCATTTTTGTTCCTTAAACAATCCTTTCTATAAAGTTAACCAAATACCCATAAAACTACCTCTTAAAAAACACAGAAACCCTCAATAGCAACCATTCAAACCAGTACCATTCTCTTTACATTTGTCTAACCTGACTGCTACAATATGTTTATTTTATGAAAGGAGATGCTTGGCTTGCGGATGTCTAGTCAATGCCAACGTCAATAGAAAAATGCTTTCTCTAAACTCTGACATTTGGATTTCAAATACCAAGATGTTCAAAATTCAGTATTAATGTTCATGTATTTCTGTCACGTAACCCTTTGTCCAACAAAACAGCTGCTAGCCCCATTACAGGACTACCAAGATGTCATGGTTTTATGTTTTTTGGTTTTCAGTATTCCATATCATAATATCATGTAGTGCTCTGAGAGTTAAAGTGTTAATGCCCCAATTCCAGTTACCTATCCCTATACATTACGGAAGTTATGGGATCTGGCCCTTCCGAGTGGGGCAGTCTCTCTTACTGCCTTGCAGTGGGTGCTGGAGGGTGCTTTCCTAACTGTTCCAAGCTTTT